TATTAGGAGAGATGGACAGTATTTGCTTAAGTCGTCGTAATCAATGTTGCCACCCACTCATCCACCAGAGAACCTGGTTGCTATCCAGGATAATCTCGATCACAAAACCTCTACAATGAAATACACTGATATACTTTTTTAGTTTTAATGTTTTGTCTCAAGGCTTTCCCAGTATCGAACAAGAGATCTGAATTGCTTAACTGGTTTTCTCGTTTTATCGGAAAACATAAGCAAATACTGTAAAGTACCGGTGATATAGCTATCCCCACAGCCCTAAGAGCATTAATTAATTAATAACAGGATCGAATTGAAAATGGATTTACCATGGACTTACAAAAGAGATATATGTAATTAAAATGTGTCAGACGTGGTTAATGATTCGACATCAAGCATGTTCATAAAATAGCTCCAGACGGCTATCGATTTAATCCACACCAAATTTAATCTCATGCCTGGATTAGCTCTTTCAGGATATTTATCTCTTGGAATAATCTGATTGTAAACATTATGTAAGATATAATATCAATCGATCAAATTCTTGTCACAGTAATGTTCTCTGCCAGGAGCACAACTTAACTGAGGATTAGCAATTGTGTTTCCTGAAACTTCAAAATGCGTATCGTTTTAAATGGTTCCACATGGTTTTATGTCCTGTATGTCCCAGTCATCAGAACATTAAATACACAGTGATGGATTAATAAATGCTAAATGAAGTCTGTTTTATTGTTTATCGGCTATGAATACATGTACGGAATAATCATCGCAGTTGTGAGATCAACAGACAGTTGACAAAGGCATTAACATGAATCATTGTTACAAATTATGAATCAATTTTGTGGTACTTAATATTTGGTTCAGTGGATAGAATCAACCAATCTTTTCACAACCACTGACCTCTTAGCCCATTGAATGAAATCCGACAGGTTTCAATATTACTAGTACTGGCCTCCTGTTGGTTTTTTAATGAAATTCAACAGCCACCTGGTCTCTTGATGATTGAATGGAATCCGACAGACTTCAATAACTGAGCTCTTAGTGTAAATTTTGACAATGAAATATGACAGACTCCATCGACTGACTTCTTGATTCGGGTTCATTGAATGGAATCCGACATACTTCAATAACTGAGCTCTAAGTGTAAATTTTGACAATACAATGAAATATGACAGACTCCATCGACTGACTTCTTGACTCGGGTTTATAGAATGGAATCCGACAGACTTCAATAACTGAGCTCTAAGTGTAAATTTTGACAATGAAATATGACAGACTCCATCGACTGACTTCTTGATGAAGATTCATTGAATGGAATCCCACAGACTTCAACAACTGAGCTCTTAGTTTTTGTAAATGAAATCTTCAACGACTCCAACGACTGATGCTGAAGGCCCGCCTGAGAGATCTCGTACAGTGATTGGTCTCGGATTCAATCCTCTATTTATTTCTCTATGGCTGACTCTCTGATTGAGGTTCTATTCTTGTATTGCTTCATTAGGTATAATATAGGTGTAAAATGCCACGAGTTGAGAAGGTTCAACTTAATAATGATCAAGCCATAAATCTTGAATAACACTTCCATCAAGTTAATAGAGATTGTTTGAGAAAGGAATATTATTCTATAGCATTGGAAATTACCAAGAGGACAATCTTCTTGATGTTTAATTATATACACAATGTGTCCGACACACGATCTCTTGCTAATAAAGAAAATGCACAACTCGCTATCAGAAAAACAATGGTATGGTCGTTCAATAGTATCATTGTTAACTTCGATATGTAAGACATAAGCGATTCGATGTATCAAAGCTGAACACATCAATGTTCTTACGTTTTCCGTTTGATGGTTTGGGGATGTCTTGTGATGCAAATCAATTAAAAAATAAATGGAAAGACCTGGAACTTCAATAGGTCATGAGAGTACAGAAAACAAAGCGGAGATCAATTCCTTTTAATGGTATCACCATTTGAATATAAAGGGGCATGATTTAAAACGAAACATAAACCATACCTCTTTCATAAACACTAATGGAATGTTGATAACAATTTATTCATTTGAAAAGAATTTCAATTAGCAATTCTGACTATCTTTCCTGGGTATCCTACAAAGTATGGATCAAAGATTCGACGTATGGATGACTCTCATGGTGCTGGAATGTTGGTAACTAGCTCATTACTTAGTATTGTAACCAACTAATAAAAGCTAATGTCGACGTGAAACAGAACTCCTTAATAATATAACGTAGCTACAAGCCTTTCTGCCCCCTCACTAGACACCTCCCTGTGTGAGTAGTTCTCATACCTGTGTAGACAAGTAGTTGGTCTAGCTGCACGCCCATGTCACCCCCGCTCTACATACTTCATCTCTGGAGGCGAAATCGATGAGGGAGTGTCTCCAGAGACCAAAGGAAAAATGAGACCATGTTGATAGGTTTCATTTCCACTTTATTTTCATGAGGGATGTACTTCGCAGTGAAGTTCAAGAAGAATATTACATGCAATTAACAAAGAACATTAAAAACACCTTTGGACTTTCATTCCTTTACAATTGCATTTATGCACATTCACGAAAATCTAGATGTGTAAGTTCAAGTTCCAAAAGGGGAGATACCAAAGTAATACAAAACCAGTGTAGTACAAAACATAGCATGATGAAGAAATAATATCTAAGAGCACATCTAAGTAAAATGAATCACCAATCAAAAAATGATCTGACGCAAAAATAAATTATGTTAAATAAAAATGTTTGACCACCGCATAGTGATTTGTTATATGAAAATTCGGAAATAATGTTATACTGTTGATGAGGAAACTAGACTATTATGGAAGGATTATTTACTAGCACTTCAGCTATTTCTAGTGTTAATCCTTCACCAGTATCACAATGACACTAGAAACCTTCCCACCTGCTTATCTTCCAGACGGAGATCAATAGCTCTCTGAAGTGATACTGTCATAGACACAGTTACAAGGTATCATTTGATTAAAATATTTGTCTACAAATTAGGAACTAGATACTCATGCCGGTTCAGCTGTTATTCAATTGAGTCTGTGAGGCCCATAATTTGATTAGCTTCGTTCCCGGCTTCGTTACAGTTTAGCTCAAATGAAAATACCCAAAGAAACGGAGCCTATAGTGAATCTATGTGTCCTCAACCATATTGAGCCCTCGATGCATTTCTTCCTAAAGAACATGAAGGCAAAACACGACACGAATGACGAAAGTGGTATAACCTTCTCAAAACTATTCCTAGTGGTAATACTGAGGTGAAATGGTCCTGGACTATCGAATGATTCAAATTGTTAGATCTATTATAGATGTTCTTGATTCTGATTGTGATTCAGGGTCAGTTGCTAGTGAATCACACAGACCATCAATCAGTGTGATCGATGTTATCAGTGTAGCCAGCAGCGTGGTTGGACAGTCATCATTTGCGTTGATCAACAAGTATTCAATCAAACTATTTGATGAATCAACTGATGATCCCAAGATGATCCTATAGGGTAACATTGTAATAACCGTTCATAATATGGCATCAGTCATTGATATGGCAAATGAGGATGTCAATTCCAATTACTCCAATTGACACAGACCCCATTAATTTGACACTCAGCATTCCGTGAGAATTGGGGATTGACGTTTCTATGAAGGTGCCGAGTAACACCAATAACCACAAGTTCCATATTAATTTTCAGGTTCCATTTATGATTTTGGACTCACTACTCTCACTAGTACAGTCTTTACATCCACAAGAAGTGAAGGAGAGAGGGTAGTCTTGCCTCAAGACTTTTGACCCCCTACTTCTCCAACACAACACACATAGTGTAAAGTAACTAAGGGGTACAGGGTCTTGAAGCAAGGCTGGAGAGAGGGAGGGGATCCAGAGGCTTGATTTAAGACTGACAAGTCTTTCTTTGTCTGTACAATAAAAAATCATTTTTAGTTTTGGTAAAACCAATACTGAGACTTTGTAAGAGTAATATGATGTCAAAAATATTACGTGAATCTGGGGAGTCTGTTTATCCTGACTGAGTTATCATGTGTTTGGTATGTTTTAGGGCAATTTCCTGCAGTAGCATTGAATTAGTCAGATCAAATGCTGCGTTATCATTGGCAAATTACTTCGATTCAGAACATCTGTTTGTTCCATCTAATTATCTTGTCAAGTAAGGAGATGTATTTGATTTCCGCAAATCAGGAAAACCCGCCCCGGGTGATGCATAAATCGATAAACTATAAGTGGTGGCAGAGGTGGGATCAAAATCCAAGATTTAATGGATATCATGTCTAAGCCTGCGAGTAACATTAGGTTCCACAAGCTGACTTCACATAGGTTCCATATAACGTTGCATCATTCAATTATATCATTAAACTAAGCCGCCATCATTGATTATCTGAGGCAACGTTCCATAGTAGGCCTAGTTCTGCTTGATAATTGAAACAATAGAAGATTAATGGCTGATGTTATATAAATGATCTGGGAACTCGAAGTGGAGCACTAAAAATGGCAAAGAAAAACAATAAATTAAACCAACTAATCAATGTGTACGTGGAGATCCCATATTTTTGAAAAAGAAGATTAAGTATGAAAAAGTATGTTAGCTTCAAAAAAATCCTAAATAAAAGATGAACACTCGCCATATCATTAACAACTACTACCTTAGACCAAAACAGTACTACCATGAGCTCTCTGTTGGGCCCATAGCATTCTGATACTCATGGAAATCTCTCTGTTGCATCGCATCTCCAGAAGGATAGAGATGGAGAGGGGGTGGCTTACCACAATGGCCCCATAGTACTTTCATTGTCAGTAGACATAATATTGTAACCTAAAAATCATCCAAAAACAGAATCCTTAACATATCGTAACTTATTGTTGCTGTAGAGAATACACAAGGATAACAACATTACAAAACCAAACGTGAGCTTTAAAAGTATACGTTTATTAGAAATTGTCAACTAGCAATAAAAATGTATACTATATATATTTATATATTTCCAGGAGTTTGCTATGCAGAATTTGGTGTTAGAGTTCCCAAGACAACAGGTTCAGCCTATATGTATTCTTATGTCACGGTTGGTGAATTCGTTGCATTTCTTATTGGTTGGAACATGATCTTGGAATACTTGATTGGCACTGCAGCGGGAGCTAGTGCCTTGAGCTGGTGTTTTGATTCCCTTGGCAACCACACGATGAGTGAATACCTAATAACTCACGTTGGGACGGTGATTGGTAGGTAACATTAGATGTCATCATATTTGACTCTTATTAACCTGTACTTAATTGCTTGTTGAAGACGAAACAATATGATTAAGTAACCATTTAAACACATTGTCCCACGAAGGAGTAAACCTCTTAAATGATACCCTTTGCATTCGTTTGACTTCACTTCTTAAAAGAGAGCTTCGTCTTTAACTAGACTCTGCACGCAGGGTAAATGAAGGTTTATAGTCCGAATATCCTAGATAGTTTTTATTAGTGGGAAATCTACTATCAGTCATCCTATTCGCTCTCTTGAGCAGTTCGTTATAGGGTTATAGGACGCTGTATATGAATCGACACACAGCATGTATGACATCCCAAATTTACAAATATGAATTTTCTGTGCTATCATCCTAAAGCACAAGTGAAACGTGGAAGTAATAACCAAATGGTTTCCTCTTGGGACCCATTAGTCAAATCCAAACATACAAAATGCAATAAAATATATAGGCCCATTAATCAATATTAACGAAACAATGAGAACCGTCTACGGCTGTGCATACAATCTACATAGTAACAGTATACCTTAACGTCGTGACAACTAGTTGAGGTTAACTTTCTAAATAATCTCACACTTTTAGAATGTCTTAATTTCATGTCATGCCTATTTTATAAAAGTCCGATAGTTCTGACTTTTTCAGAATGACGTTCCCCTTTTTAAATATATTGTTATTTGTTGGTAATCATATAAAAAGATTTAAGGGGGAACTGTTGGCAGATAGGTCCCAACGTCTTTACATTTTACATCCTAAATTCATTTCTGCCACTTTTTTTAACAAAACTTCATGTTTGACATTTATTTGTATTGTTTTCATGTCACCACCAAAAAGTGGTGACATATTGTAATGGTCTCTGTTTTTTTGACGGCGGTTGGAATCGGCGTCTGTAAAAAATTCTTACAACTTTCAATAACTTTACAAATACTAGTACTGTTTAGTCTGACTTCAATATTTTTCAAAATTATGATTGACTTTATATCTAAGATTTGACCTCCAATGACCTTTTCAAGGTAAAAAAGTCATATTTTCAACTTGCTTCAAATTGACCAATTTATTTTTTCAAAATCATCTACAAGTTCTCAGAAATTCAAATCTGACTTAAGATTGTACTGATAATATTGTGAGCAACTAGGTGGTGACATTTTTTCATGTTAATTAATGCCTTGTTTAATGTTTATGAATCAGCTCATGGGGGTTCGAAGTTGTGTTTAAATGTAGCCCTTTGGGCTTTTCTTTAACAGTCAACGTCTTCTTCAATAGGAATACATACATTCAGAGAGATAATCGATCTCTATTAGTTCTAGTATTAAAATAGGGAACAAGATGTTTAATATCATCTGTAAAACAGCAGAATTATTCGGTATTGACTGAACAGACAATTTGTGTAGTCATCTGTGCTCTACGACACTTGATCGTCGGAGTCGCATTCAAATAACTTCAGCAGACATAAATCTTAATATTCAGTAAGAAAATCCCAACCACCGCTGATATTTAAATAGGACACTTCGACATCATGATTCTGTCAGCATATATTCTTATTAAATCTCCACCGTGTTGAAATGTCATTAACGAACCTAATTATTACACGGTGGTAAAACAGTTTAGATCTATTAATTTTATTACTTTTGTGCATCTAGCATTCAAGTCGAGGTTGGTGATTTGTTGATGAAATGAGAAATACAAATTCTAACGACAGAAACGCAATTTAGTACGTACATACTGTAATGTGAACCAAACCCATTTCAATTGTAGATTTCTGATTTTTTCAGGAAAGGCATACCCAGATTTCCTCGGCTGTGGGATCGCAATAATTGTAACTATAATACTCGCAGTTGGAGTGAAAAAGTCTCTCGCCTTTAACCACGCCCTCAATGCCATCAACCTGATCGTTTGGGTGTTTATCATGATCGCTGGCTTCTGTTATGCCAATGGCGAAAATTGGAGCGAACGTGGATTTTTCCCATATGGACTATCTGGTGTAAGTCAGAGTCAACCTGGTAGTATTGCATCAAAACCAGCGTAAAAGTAATTATGGTCCCCAGGGATTACTCCTTCTATATGGGAATTATTGGCCCCAAATGAGTATAAACTCAAATGAGTATAGAATGGAAGATTTTTTTGGGGTCATTCTATAAATCAATGGAGAGGACCATCAATGGAGCATATTCAGACTAATCAACCTAAAATGAAAAATTTGCGGGAGGTTTTTAAAATAAATCCGGTAGTTTTTGCGGTAGATTTTTGAAAAGTAATTCTTATCATTTTCATCCCGTTTTCAACGATGTGGCCGATTTATACGTGAATCTGTGACATTAAGAATATTGTTTAGTTAAATGCAATCGGAAAACAAAACAATGTGACAAATATTATTGAGTATAAGGTTGATGATCGAAATGCTTATTTAGATCTACATGAAAGTTGGGCCAGAACAAAACTTACGCTGTATGAGAGTCTGTTTGCTCAGTTTTTACATTACAAAAAATCATACATTTTCCTGGCCGCGAAACTGAAAGTTTAAGAAAGAAGGGTGACTTCGATAATATAGGTCACAGATTTGTCAGATTCCTAAATAAAATACGGTAGATTATAGCAAAAAATACGGGAAATATCAGCAAAAATAGGGAGATTTCAGCAAAAATACCTTAGATTTTACGAAAAAGATTTACGGGAGATTTACTATAAATACGGTTCAAGAGTTTACGGGAGTGTTAACGGGAGAAAACGGTACGGGAGTTGTCATTTTTTACGGAAAAACAAAAAAATTACGGGAGATTCCCGTAAAAAACGGGAGGTTGGCAGGTCTTACAATTGTCCATTTCGAGTCAAATTGCATTTATATATTCACATTATTATACCAGACCGGGATTGCGTAGCCTGGTATCCATCACATATGAGTATTCATGTCAATACCCATGCATTTTACACTCCCTCTATAAGTTTGGCAAACGGAATTTCCTTTCCAAATCTCTTCAAGCCTATTATTACGTTTAGTGATTCAAAAAATATCCCATTCCCTAAATAATTTCGATATCTTATAATCAAGGAATAAAGTTTTAGGTTCAGTAATCGAAAAGGCATTGGCAGGCTTTGATCCGATGAAAACATACGCTTATGAAGGGGAGTGTACTTTGGCGTCGATGATTTGTTGTGGATGGGAACGATAATATTATCTCTTTTATCTTAAACCCTAACCCTCACCCTACATTGTAGGTATTTTCCGGTGCAGCAACATGTTTTTACGCCTTCATCGGTTTTGACATCATAGCAACAACGGGGGAAGAAGCTAAAACACCCACCAAGTCTATCCCTATTGCTATCATGGCCAGTCTTATCATCTGTCTCGTTGCTTACGTCTCTGTGAGTACAATTGTAACGCTAGTCGTACCATACTATGAGATAAACGGCCACTCGGCGCTGGAGGACATGTTCGCTATGCGCGGAATGGTCTGGGGACGATATGTGGTGGCTGTTGGGGCAGTTGCTGGCTTGACAGTTAGTCTCCTAGGATCAATGTTCCCGATGCCAAGAGTAATCTATGCCATGTCTAGAGATGGACTCCTTTTCAAGTTAGTACATTTACAATAAATACTATTACACGTCGCACGAAACTGGGGACAATTAGCGTAACATTATGGCGTCAAAAAAACAAAACAAAACAATGAGCAGTATAGGGCGCAAACAGCCTTACAACGTCAAAAACGACAAGCGTTTAGTCAACCTAAATATAAAATACTTTATCCTTATCTAATCATTACAAAATTTACAGGGTAGCAAGATCTCGAGGACAATATTTCTAAAATGTTTTTGAATTTTGAAAAACGGTCAAGAAATCCACTTGGGGCGTTAGTAAAAATTGATACACTCCCCTTCATAAGTTTGGCAACCTTTTTTCCCCATTGAACTACGTGTTAAAGCCTCTTTACGTTTGAATTTTTATTTACTTAACCGGCGATGAAATAACTTATAATATTAATGGAAACGTAACTTGACTTTATTTCCAATACCTCCAAATTTTCTCAATTTTTTTCCTCAATTACAATAGGTCGAAAATTGATGATAAATTTGATGAATTTTTGAAAATCGTCATTCCCATGTAATCCAATGGGAAATGGAGGGTTCGGGGCAAATCAGAAAGCAGGATATCTTTTCAGTAAAAGATTCAGCAAAAAATATTTTTATATAGAAAATTGAATTGTCTAACTTTTTTGAACACTAAGTGTTTAGTTTATTTGATGAATATTAAAGTTACAGTGCTTCAAAGTCATTTTTGAAAATAATTTTTCGCCTCCTGTGTTATTTCAATGGGAGAGTTTTTTTTAAAAACAATTTTGACTTTAAAGACCTATAACTTTGTTGAACCTGAAGAAACATATCAATTTTTTGTTAAATAAAGTTAGCAAATTCAATTACCTGCATAACTCGTATTTTTTGCAAGGACTTGGATGGATGGATATTCTGTCATATGACTTGCGGCAAACCTACCATTTCCCATTGGTTAACATGGGAATGTCGATTTTCAAAAATTCATCAAATTTATCATCAATTTTCGACCTATTGTAATTGAGGAAAAAAATTGAGAAAATTTGGAGGTATTGGAAATAAAGTCAAATTACGTTTCCATCAATATTATAAGTATTTTCATCGCAGGTTAAGTGAATAAAAATTCAAAGGTAAAGAGGCTTTAACACGTAGTTCAATGGGGGAAAAAAGGTTGCCAAACTTATAGAGGGGAGTGTATGTATGGAATTTGTGGTAAAAAATCGATGCGTCACATTTTTTCAAGTCTCGAAAACCAGCTCTTATTTTGATATTATTTGCAAAATAAACAAACCGGTTATTGTTTTGTAAATTTCGCCATGACAATATTGTGCAGTTAAATTTTCTTTCAAATCAGACCTAAATTAGAAGGTTAAATGAAGGTAAACTTATTGCTCGTCCCATTTGCCTTCAAAACCTTACACAATTTTGAAAATGTTAAAAGCGTTCGTATAAGATAATTTGAAATGTAGCCGTTAAGCAATTGTGACGTCATAAATGCAAATGTTCCATTGAATACATTGTGAAATTTAAGTGGGATTTTGATCATTATTTCAAAAGTTATCTCAATTTCAACGAGCCCTGTAAGCTTAAAGTGTTACGTCTTACAGCGTATTTGACGATGTCGGAATATATTTAACTTTAAAAATGTGTTGGATCCCATTGGAATTTTGAAGGAAAAATAATTTCATTGAAATGCGAATAAAAAATACTTCAAAATGATATGTAAAACACATAGTTGGCTTTTTAAATAAGGCAGAGATTAACGTTCAAAGCTGAGATAAGCCCGCATTTTCCGAATTGTCCCCAGGTCCGTGCACGTCATATATTCAATTACGATTATAACTTGGTAGATAAATGTTATGAAATACCGTTGAATTAAAATACGTGGACAACTTACAGATATTCTTCGAAGTTGGAATTAACATGATGAAGGACGACGAATATTTGCAGGACACTGTATAAATATAAATGCAAACTTATTCCAGAACAGTAAGAAAAAGAAACAGAATAGTACATAGGTCGAAGCAGTCATAAAAAGTAACCCCAACATCCCATTGATCTGAACCAGAATTAACTTGTGCCGTGCCACCCCCTCACCATCCATGGATCATTATCACACTAAAACTCAAACACTGTGTTTGCAGATTTCTATCCAAAGTTCACTCCAAGACGGAAACTCCGATGTTAGCAACATTTATCAGCGGAATAGCTGCGGCGTTACTGGCACTGCTCGTGGGACTCCAAGCCTTGGTTGAGATGATGTCAATAGGTCGGTATATATCACTCGAGGTAGACTCATTCGAAATGGGCGTTTCCAAGATCATAAGGACTTTCGAAAAAGGAAATGAAATATTTTACAACTTCTGATTTCCAATGGTGAACTGATTTTCTCGCTCATTAAAATTTACAAAAGCTTTGTGTAGCAGTATGTTTAATATCATAAAATAGTATCGCACAAACGCAAGACACATTTTATTCATTATAATATATATATACATTAATAAAAGAGCATTGTCCCACCAAGCCAGCAAGTAAATGCTTTTCCAAAACATTTCAGTTTTTATGTAATCATACTGTAGAGAAATATTAAATTGCAATTATGGCACTTTAATTCCTCATTTCATGTTACACAGCTTACCCAAGTTGTTTCACATCAACACTTCTCAAATGATCAATGCGACAAAGTTTTTACAACAACGGATTTATATGTAATACTCATTGATTTAACAGAGTGATGTCGCTTGTCAATTTGTCATCCTTTGCTCATGTCAGTTCCATCAACCAATCCTTAAACCTAGGATTACTGTCATCTTATTGCAAGAACATTAATATAGTACGCATGGGTCTTATAGGTCGTATTTGTGACTGTATGTTGTAGGAACGCTACTCTCCTACACACTGGTATCCATATCAGTGTTGATCTTGCGTTATGAACCCGAACATAAACACGCCATAACCGCCCTTGAAGAGATTAAAGAAGAATCTGAACAGGACTCTACCACCATGTCGCAGTCCACATCGACGTCCAATGCCTTCACAGATGACACCCCAAGTAAAAATACGTACAAGGACGGAGCGTTTCTCATACCACCGTCATCAAAAGAAAACAAATCATATGGTACACTCATGGACAATTTCACAGATATATCTGGTTTAAACTGGTTCAAACGAAATTTAAAAATGTGGAGTTTGCGTCTCGGTTTCCCCGGGGAAGATAGACATCCCACGCACTACACAGCTAGGATTGTTACTATTACAATCATAATCTTAGCCATTTTAAAGACATCTCTGAGTTTGTTGATCGTATTTGGGGTGTCACATATTCAAGCCGGTGAACCATGGGCGATAATTGTGCTCCTTGTACTGATATGTGCTGTTCTCATAGGCCTGGTAGTTATTCTCATGCAGCCACAGAATAAGTAAGTAAAACACAGGCGTAGGCAGCCATGGAGCAGGCAGGCAAGCAAATGTTACTGAAAAAATACTATTCAGAATTTTAAAACTAAAATTATACTATATCTTAAATGCCCGCCTACTTTTGGACCTGACTACGCCTCCTGTAAAGGATTGACATAAAAATATTACATGTATTTTCCACTGTAGTTTTTAGCTCACATGGTGAGCTATTGCAATCACTAACTTGTATTGTTTTTCACCCAACTTACAAGGCGAGTTAAAAATGTTTTAGTTAACCAAATTTGGCAAATTTCATCATTCTTTTACTAGTTTAACTGATATATCTGACGAATAAATGCAAAAATGATAAATGAATTAATAAATGTATTAAACTTGTGATAAAAGTAATTAAGTACATGTATATTGAATGTTGAAGAATCAGAATTGAATAAAGGGTACTTAGGGCCTAAATAATAAGAAAGGGTAATAATTAGTAAGTTGATCATTTACAGAGTGTCTCAAAATAATTTTGTACCAGAGACAAAACATGGAATATCTCTGTAGTGAGGAAAGAATATTCTTGAAATTTGGTCAATCATCTGACAGGCAATTGAATGATGCGCAAAGTAATTATATTTAGTTTTAGAGAAAACCCTGTTTTAGTACCCTCACTCATTTCTTTGTTAAATTATTACTTTTTATTGTGTGCACAGCTCAGCTTTTTTAGAAGAAGGAAAAAAGAGTTACTCCCATTTCATTTAGAACAATCTTTTTGGGACACCCAATATTTAAAACAATCCAAAGATGCTTTAATCCATTCCATTGGTTCCTTAGAAGATGAAACTGCATATCCGACTTCATATGTGATTAATGGCATCAATTTTGTTTTCCAGTCATAAGAAAAACCATGATGTCTATTTTTATCCATAATTGCTTGAACCTTCTTGGCTGGATTCAATAATGAGACATTATAAAATCAATCAAAAACCTATCAAAATACATTTGTAAAGTCAGGATTGATCACCTGTGATTTCAGGAGGAGATTAAAGTTTATGGCACCCTGTGTACCTGTGTTACCAATGTGTGCTATGATGATTAACATCTACTTAATGTTGAAACTTTCCTCTATGACTTGGATACGGTTTGCAGTTTGGTTGGTGTTAGGTAAGAACTCTTTAAAACAAACACACTTTAAATTTGAGCTATTTTTGATTTTACATGAAAGATGTTACATTTGGATATATGCATAACGCCAATTTTTCAATGAATGCTCATAAAAGGAATGATTTTAAGATTTATAATGTGGCCCCTGCCTTGAGTTCAGAAGCAAAAACACTTTTTTGATTTTTAGCTTTAATGATATTCAGTTCACCATCTTGTCTCCCTTTGTTTAAAAATCACATCATTTTATGTACATGTACATTTAACTTCCAGGTATAATCATATATTTTGCCTATGGCATCAGACATAGTGTGAAGGAAGCACCCGATACAGATCCAAATCTTAGCGAACAATTCTCTCCATACAATAAAGACATTAAAGCAGACACTACTCCAATGGAGGAGACTAAAATTAATGAGTTAAATGGCAACCTTCCACATTCCAAGTCCAACGGTGCAACGCCCCACTCAGAACAGTCTTACCAAAATGGGGCTCCCCCAATAAACAAAGCGCCACCTTTAGGTCAACAACAGAACCAACCTGATGAAAAACATGATTATTTTAAATATGGATTCATTGCATCGCCAAAAACTGAAAAAAGTCAGTCTGATGAACATCACGATTTTATGAAACTTGGCTTCATAAAATCGGATAAATAAAGATACTAGTAACTGACCAATTATCATAATAACTGAATGCATGTACATGTATATGGCTATTGTGTACTACTTAAAACATCAAGTTTAACCGATTTATTGTCTCTTACTCTTTCTGTAAAATATATTGTAACCTAAATCCCCATCTATACCTATTACATGTAAATGAAAGTGTATGTGCCTCATGTGATTTAATAAAGCAGTGTACAGTTTATCATGAAATAGACAAGCCAAGCTTCCCCTTTTGTTTACTTCAAGAAAAACAAATGAAAAACACATTATCTTTGCCTATATATTATGTAATACAGAGTTGGACTTTATCAATTAAAGGGAATGACTAAAAGGACCAAACTTAGTAAAAATTAAACAAGAAAGGAGGCATGGCAAGTCTACTTTACACAGGATGTTTCATAATGACCACATTCCCCTTCACAGCCAGCCCTACATCAAATGTCCCATAATCTATATACATAATAAAGATTATTTAATTCTGGACTGATGCGCAAAATATCTGCATGTTTGGTCATTGAGAACACAATTTTACGAACAAAATAAGTTACAATTTCACTTTCATCAAAATTTGTACATTAAATTTGTACATACTGCCTGGAGATAACAGTTTTCTAGGACATGGTTATCACAGCAGTTACAAGTGTAGATGGTTAATTGGTTTTAGAAAAGGTCGCTCTCAGATTATATTCTAAAGGTGGAAAACTTTTGGAGATATGTTAGCGCTATGTAGAAGTTCAGCTTTATCAATGTTGTTTTGATAAGTTCACAAATGATTTAGCTTTCATATGATATATAACATGGAATGAAGCTATCTAAGATTTGCTGTTGATGGAACCAGTCAGTATGAAACACCCTGTAAATGTATTTTCTATATAAAAATACATACATATACAAATACATCATGACTAAATATATACATAATTATATAAATTAATATTGTTATTTATAATATATAATTATCATATTACTGTTACTTGTTATGCATCGTAAAACATTGAAAATATAGTATCAAATTCAAATGATTGGAAATGCTACATTGAATATTTTAAATAATAAAGAACATTTTCTCATTCATGTTATCATCAAATGTTGTTTATTTTCATTTCTATGTTGTACATCAGAAATAAGAAAATAAGATATAATAAAGGTAAGTTAACTAAATGTGGAGTCTCATTCAAATTCTAAAGCACATATTAATGAAGTCTCACTGTCTGATTGTATCTTTTAATAAACATGAAAACTGAAAACCTAAATAAGCCCTTCATCAAGAAACCTCGTCGGTTGCAATTTTAGAACCATCTGGAGTATTGCAGTGTTTGTCACTAGATTGTGATAGATCGTCTCTTTGTTTCTTGTACAGCCAAACTGTATCAATTCCCTCTCCTATAATGTCAGTAGGTGTCCATTTTGGTAGCGGGAAGCGGCACGCTATCACCTGACCGTCTTCTTGTAGTTCCTTGTCAAGTTTGATCTCAAGTGGTTCCATCTATTGAAAGAAATAACAAATATTTCTTGAAGTAAAATTCACTAATTGATTCGTACACATTGGGGATAAATTTCTGGTAATAATATCCGGTAATGGTGACTGTGAATGTCTAAGTATGAATGCATTTGAAGCATTCATTATTTTTGTTTGAATTACTTCTATTTGAGTCACAAGAGTAAAAAATGTACATGCCACATATGTAAAGATAATATTTTATAGAAACTTAAGGCGTAATTCTAATAACTTTGGTAAAAGAAATGAACAAATTTTCTTGAAATTACCACCATGCAGTGGCCATCTTGAAAAAAAACAATTCATCAACAGACACCTTTCCCCAATATGAAGAAAATCCATCCACTGGTTTTTGAGATATTTTCCAGAAGTACAGACAGGCTGACAGATGGATGGAGAGCTTCACTACAAGTATAATGTAGCTGTTGAATTTCATTTGTTAGTATAAATTAATCCTAACTACCATGAAGTGTATAAAGCTTATGCATACCATTTGTTCTACACCAAATATCATCACAGTATTGTAGCTGGTCAAGTCCACCTGTAAATAAACTAATAAAGTTAAATTAAGGTAGCATTTGCGAATAGACTAGATGCGAGTAGACATAATCTTGATTTACGTCATTAAATATTCCAAATTCAGTCAAAGTGATGTCATATTTGAAATCTACATGTAAAAGTACATCCAGAAATATGGTTTCGAAAATTGTTTATCAACTTTGAAAATTAATTTTTTTTGAAAGTTTGACTTCTCGTTCAGGTTGATTCCCCATAGACCCAATGTTACAAAATCACAAAAAGTGATATATCTTTTCTTGTATTGGACAGATAACATTTTATTTTACTGGACGTATTTTAATTTGCACAACTATTAAATACATAAGGGTTATATGAAAATTGAACTACTAAAACAGGTGTAATTTAAGTTAAACTGGTGTTAAGTTAAGTGGTGAAACTGGTAACTACATCGTACCTACTCGCATCTGCGTTATTCAACTGCCACCTGATGGATTAACCTATTATTTTATGGCCAATTCATTAAAATGTGAATAGTACCTGCCACTATTCTATTCATATTTAAATGAGTTGGACATAAAAAGAAGGTTAAACTGTCAGCTGGCAGTTGAATTCGTTGAAACGGTCCCACTCTCAATTCACTTTCCCAGGGATCCTAATTACAATTATTTTCTATATACCTTTATACTCAATCAGCCAAGTAAACAGTAAAAATATGGAGAACTAATCCATAGAGGACCACAAGTTTTATAAAAAAATTTGCTGCTACAATGAACTTATCACCACTAGTTTGGTGAAGCACTGTTGACTGCTACTGGGGTACTGTTAACTTACACAGACAGTGTTGACCAATAACATTGTGGCATTTGAATGGTGCATGCTTTCAATTAACATTGATAGGCATTTCTTGTAGTTTTAGGATTGTCAAGCCCACATAGCTTTCCAGAAACTAGTGATACCCGTCTGTAGCTAGGATTTGCCAAGGGGGTTCACTTTTTGAAAAATTCCAGGGGGCTTCACTTTTGACAATTTTGGTCCAAAAATGGCCAAAATCACATAAAAAGTGCACAAAATGGTGAAAAACTGCATGATTTTGAAAGAATTTTTGGCTGGGGGGGGGGGTTCTCGAACCCATCGAACCCCCCTGGCTACGGGCCTGCTGTATATCCATATCAAAACAGCAGATATCATCATAACATAACACATAAATTATGTATTGTGGTGAGAATAATTTTGTATCTTCAGACCAACAAAACCATTGATTCCTCTCTATGGTCAGCTAATAGCAACTCTTTTTGTCAAAAGGCGTTAAGTTACTCAGACTTACATTTTTGTAGGTACTAAGTTATTGAGTTACTAAGTTACTTTGAAACAGTTTACAGTCACAAAACCTGCCATTAATGTTATACATGAGAAAGTTCCCTGACAATGAAGTCCTACTTTTTGTCAAATGTTATAGAGTTAAGGCTAAAACTGTATGACGGATAGACAGACAGACCAAGGGATGGACGGACACCAAGGGATGGACAGACACCAAGTATGGGGAGAACTAACAGAATTAGTTACCCTTTGCATTCGTTTGACTTCACTTCTTAAAAGAGAGCTTCGTCTTCACTCTTTCAAACTAAAATAAACCTGTGAACTCAACGCGCCAATCAGTGTTCGTCGGCCAAATTTGACCGACGTTCTATATATGGGCATTCCTTCTGACGTCATCGTTGAGCCCGGAATTGACCAATGACATACGCATATTTAATTAGAACGCATTTGGCGTATGTTTCTTCAAGCTCGCTGATTGGTGGAAGAAAGGTCAGCACGTAGGTCAGAAGTGATTTACTACCCAAACTGTCACCGGTACTCGTCCTGGGGGCGGGGCTACTTAACTGTAATATGGTCTCTACTAGGCAGAGTGTAGTTTAACTAGACTCTGCACGCAGGGTAAGAATTAGTGTACCATAAATCCTTTTTATCTATTCAGTCCCTGAAGGACAGAATTATTGAGAAGTGAAATTCATTGTCTCAACAGCATATCAATGATGCTATTGACCAGATTAGGCCAAAATTGAGGGCTACAATTGATCAAAATGATGGACATATTGAACGTCTGATTATGTAAATAAAGTTGACAATAAAACTTGGTTTTTGCAAGTTTTGGAAAACCTGTTTTGAAACGAAAATGACGTCATTTATATTAAGGACGATGGTTGACAGACATTATAATAAATTTGAACTTATTATACACCAAATTAAAGATGAGTAAATTCCCTATCCAATGGTATATAATATGACATGTTTTCATCAAGAAAATCAATATTTATTTTTGAAATATGAGTGTCCCATTTTTTTTTGACCACCCTGTATAGGTTGTAATTTACGTAATTAACCTGGAAGATAGACCCAGAAACCCCTCCTTGAATGAGACCTGTTTTCTTGAATGTGCACTAATACATATACATACAAGTACACACCAGAGCCTTTTGTACAAGTTGTGAATCACTCAGTCAAACACCCTGAAGTACTTCATGCAAAGAAGCAAATCAAGTCTTGCCTGAACCAGGGATTGAATCTGGAACCTATTGCGTAAGAGATACATGCGTTACCGCTGAGCTAATATGGGTGGACTTAATGTATGACTAATATGGTATAGTGTAGTTTTAAATGTAGTTGATATTTAAATAAAAACACTAACCTTCCAAAGGTCTTTCCTATAAAATGCTGTTTGCTTGTGAAGTCCTAATTGATAAGAACGAAGTCTTGAATACCACACCAGCCAAGGATTCAGTTCAACTCCACTGGCCTTGAAACCCAGCTTGGCTGCTTCATGTACCTGATAAAAACATACAATAAGAAGATATCATGACTGTATAGCAAGACACAAACTAAACTGATATCTCATTAAAATTATGCAGTAGACTATTAGTTGATCGAAACTCCATAAATTTCAGTATTTTAGGCACAAAAATTTGTCAAGACTGCATCAGAAGTCAATAAAACAAACACAAACTAGAAAGCATTAATTTATAATTTAAAAAGGAATTCATCCTTGCAAAATTACACATATTTGATCAAGGCAATAATACTGAGAAATGTAAAATATTCATAACCTAGCACCTCATTGGATAGAATTTGAGAAGAAAAATACAATCACACAAACAAAACAGTACTAAGACCCCAACTCAGACACTTACAGAGTGAGATTTTTGTTAAAATTACAACTTTTATTGAAAAACCACTGCTACCTGATTTTCAACATACAAATGTTTATTTTCATTTTTCACCTTGTATTACTTGATTCACTAATGTTGAGATCTTCCTGGTGTTGTTGCATATTATATCAATTTTGATGCAAATGTCACTAAATTTGCCAAAAAACTCTCAACGAGTTTGAGAAAACCAATTTGGTTGGAAGTTTTAGAAAACCACTGCCTAAAAATATCTATGTAAATGGTTAGTCAGCTGGCTTTAGATTACTTGAGTCTCTAGCCAATACTTGGCTAGAGGGGATTGCATCTGGAATACTGTGAACTCTATTTGAAAAAAGCTGGCCGTGGTGTCATAAATTTATTGAATATTTTAAAAATCGCCAGATAAATAAATCATTAATCAAACCGGACCCAGCTCGGCTCCTTGATGAGATATGACTTGATTTCATCAGGATTTCGTCTAAAATTAAAACAAAATGGCTCCAAGAAAAATGGCAATGTTCGAAAACTGGACGAAATGTCGTTAACGCCTGACATTAGTAACTGGCTGTAAATTCTAAGTTAGCGATCCAGAAGATGTGAACTAATACACTGATCACTTTATGTGTGTTTTGGAATTTTTGGTGGGGTAATAAGACTAAAACTCGCAATTCAAATTGTGATGTGGAAAAATGGCGGACATATGATTTCAAATTTTATGATTACGACATGACCATTTGTTCATGCAAGAATATACATGTATCTGTACTGGAAGGCCACGATACAGTGGCCTTAGAAGAAGGTAAGCTTTAGAAAGGTGTGTTCAGTAACCTTTGGCTGTGAACTTACATACATGTAAAAGGAGGAAAACCCAAGGTTCGAAGGCATAATCACTGATTGGTCAAATCGGCAGATCAATGATATCATTCAATGGCGGTTTCAACATTTTTCGAAAGCATTTCTAATAACATTATGTTAATATCTGGCAGAATATTAGCTTGATATTTCAAGATAAAGATGTAAGGAATATATTAGGGAGGATGTCAAAAGATCGATGTTGCCAAATAAGCCTAAAGGGGGGGGGCGGTGTCTGAAACCCCCAAAATAAGCTTCCCAAACATTGATTCCCGGGAATATAGTTAACAGGGGGAGGGAGGGTGGTCATAACTGGGTCTTATACGCCTTTTTTAATTTCAGGCCAAATTTTGAAAAAATAGGCGTCAAAATTTCAAAATTTGGGCCAACTTTTCGGTTTTAGGGGCCCAAAAGGGCCTGTGCAAGCCAGACGTTTTTTTCTCTGAACTGAAATTTGGGCCCCCCCTTATTGCTTCCAAGATCCACCCCTGACATGTCAGGGACTAAAACTTACCAATCTGCCATCTCCACTACCCAGATCAACAACTTTGCCAGTTCTGCCCATCAGAAGTTTCATAACATTATTAACTTGTGTTGTTGTTGCAGGAACGTATGGGAGGCATATACGCCTGAATGCAGGCAGTACAAATGGTGTGGTCACAGCATAAATCACTCCGAAAATTCCTCCAGAAATTCCCAATAATACAACGCCAGTTTTCGTCAATTTACCGCCTTTGTTTTCTTCTGACATTGTTCATATAGTACAACTGGTAGTATGTGACATTCTAAATTACTTAACAGTTCCAAGATATGGTTCCATTTCAAAGATATTGCATATTTCATGAGATTTTCTGATTTAGCTGATTTTTAGCAAGTCAGAAAGGCGCGAAATTAAACTTTGCGTAATAATTTTGATCTCAGAATTGCAAACATGTTTTACGTTTATCTCTTCCGAAATATGATAGAAAATTATACATTAGTTTGTTTTTAGTAAAATTAGACAGTTTGTAATCTTTTTCTGAGTATAAACTGCAAATACATTTTTGCGAAAATTGATTTCTTGCAAAACTTTCAAGGCCATCACGCATGCGCTTTGCGTCGATAAATAAGATGGAAAAAGTTCGCAAGTTTTTTTCTTTCTTTTTACCAAAATTGCATTATGATATAGTTTGCTGTAGACAATTATACCCTGTGTGGTGATGGCAGGGGAAACAAAGAAACCCCAGAAGTCGGTAAGTCTGCGCAAAACCTATTTTGACTTAAAATATTTGAGAAGGAAAGAAAAGTAGGTCAAAATAAAAATCAGCTGCTTGGAAAAATGTTGCAACTTACTCACTTCGAGAGCCATGTTAGATTTTGAAACTTATGGCTCTCAAACGGAGAAGTGAACAGCTGATCAATAGTGACCTTTGAAATTGAATTAAGTCGATCCGCGGCTTACTTTTGGTCTCTAACTGTGTCTTACATCAGTATCATCAATCCGTGTACTATTTTTTTCAAGGCCTGTCTGCGTCGCTAACATGCTAAATATAAGAGTTAGCTGACGTTTGGGAGTCTGACTTACCTTCTAAAGGTTAGAACCCGAATCTTAATGAAACTATATCACCTTTGTTGCGTCGATGATGATGCATAAACATAGCATTTGATAGAAATTAGCGTAAATGCTTTTCCGACTTTTTCATTTTTCATCAATGTTGACTTCCGGGAAGGCGTTGTAGTTATCACGAAATAACGCATTGACCCTTGAACTTTACTTTGTTGACGTGTCAACCAAGCATGTCTGGTGTGAAAATTAAAAGAATATTAAGCAATGTTCTACATCCGCCAAGCTAAGTGAAGTAGTCAATATTAAAAATTACCAATTTCAAGTGAAGTACGCAACGAACGAAACTGCGTGATCTACACTCCCACTATTGGTCTGAATGAAATGCTACGTAGAAATATGAGCCGTCTGCTGTATTAGTCGATTAATAGAGAAAGACCTGTTGGTGATGCTTTATAATTTAGACCAAAACATTGAAGAACAAACGAACCTGTAAATCGTGAAAACAACGAACAAATATTCGGTTTTCACATATGTTCGGTAATTTTTCGTATTGAAACTTCCGGAACTTACAAGGAAATCATTCATTTTCTCGATCCATGATTTACCTCTTGGATGTTGTGGCAAATGCTCCATGGTTGACGGAACAAAGGTGATATGGTTTCATTAAGATTCGGGTTCTAACCTTTAGAAGGTAAGTCAGACTCCCAAACGTCAGCTAACTCTTATATTTAGCATGTTAGCGACGCAGACAGGCCTTGAAAAAAATAGTAAGTATTGGAGCGCTGGAGTACTTCTTTTTCGATCAAGACTTGTAAATTGTTCATCGAGTTAAAGTTTTACAGACCTATTTCCAATATGGCGGTTTGCTAGGTGCGAGATACGCAACGAACGAAATGAATTTTGAGAATTAGTTAGGTTCGGACAACCTCCGGAGATTTAAGAAAATGTCCGAGCAGAAACCGCCATATTGGAATTTGGCAGTAGAACGATTCACTCGACTAACAATTACAAGTCTTGATCGAAAAAGAAGTACTCCAGCGCTCCAATACTTACACGGATTGATGATACTGATGTAAGACACAGTTAGAGACCAAAAGTAAGCCGCGGATCGACTTAATTCGATTTCAAAGGTCACGATCATTGAGCTGTCCAAATGCTCCGTGGGAAAGCTATTATATCAAAATCCAAATAGCTTTCGCAGGAAGTAAGTTGCAACCACAGCTACCGGAACAAATAGGAGAGTTGTCCAAAAAAGAAAATCCACCATCACAATTATCTGTATACCATAAAGACTATAGACTTAGAATTTCACCATGTACTTTAATAATCATCTGTCACTGCCTAATTTTTACAATGGGCCCCCACGAAGTGGGCGAAGCTAACTCACTTCGATATATATGTCACGATATTTCCATAATAACAAAACGAAAAAACGGTACTTTTAAAATGTCAATATTTTCTGTCCCTATATCTTGACACTGTTGCACTTCGAGAGCCATGTTAGATTTTGAAACTTATGGCTCTCAAACGGGGAAGTGAACAGCTGATTAATAGTGACCTTTGAAATCGAATTAAGTCGATCCGCGGCTTACTTTTGGTCTCTAACTGTGTCTTACATCAGTATCATCAATCCGTGTAAGTATTGGAGCGCTGAACTACTTCCTTTTCGATGAAGACTTGTAATTGTTAGTCGAGTGAATGTTTTTACTGCCAAATTCCAATATGGCGTTTTCTGCTCAGACATTTTCGTAAATCTCCGGAGGTTGTCCGAATCTAACTAATTCTCAAAATTCATTTCGTTTGTTGCGTATCTCGCTCCTAGCAAACCGCCATATTGGAAATAGGTCTAAAAAACATTCACTCGATGAACAATTTACAAGTCTTGATCGAAAAAGAAGTTTTCAGCGCTCAAAAATAGCATTATGGCCTTCATATTTTTCTAGTGTCATTTTCAGTGGATTATCTTGTTGTCCCATGCACCGTGAACATGTAACATGATCTACATTTAGAAGTCTTCTTAATACAGACCTCAACTCAATTTTTTATACCATGGCCTATAAAACAGGGGTCCTCAGTCAAACTCTGATGTATTGGATTAGTTCATCATGGTGCTATTTGGCAAAATGGCCTCCTACTAGCTTATTTTTCATTAGCCTTTTTTATGTTATTTTATGTTTTTTTATTGTACCTTGAAAAGTAGTGGAGCTATTTTGTTGAAATTTTTTGTGTGACTACTTAAAGGCATATTACAGTTTCTTATGACAGTTTGGCTTGTGAGCAACCATTTTGAAAAAGGACCACCACATATATTCATAATAATAATAACTGGAAAAGAAGTGGAGTGATTTTGATGAAATTATATTTGTGATTACTTTGAGGCATATTACGCTGTATCTAGTGACAATTTTTCTAATAGGCGACCATTCTCAAAAATGTCAGCCATTCGCTGGGATTTGCTACACCTTGCTGTTATCTAATTTATATTGTCTGTTAATATGGGAGATGATTATTAGATACGAGGTGAGATATAAGGCTTATAGCACAGGGTGAAATGTTTTCATAAGTCTCCTTTTTTTTGAGGTATGCAGAGAGTTTTTTTTAAACATTTCTACTACCTGTTCCTGTGCCTAGCCAGTTCATCTGTCAAGAAAAGAAAGTCTAACCCTGCTCAACTACTTGGAACAGATACTGGGGGTGCATTTTTTTTCATTACAGCTTTGCTATATTGCGAAGTAATGAAAATGTTAGTCTGTCAAACCTAAAAAATAAGCAAACAAAAAAGCAATCCAAACATTTGCTATAAAATATATTAGTTGACGATACATTGGGTATAAGAATTTACCATTCATTTTAGCCCTAGAACTGGTTATTTGTGATATTCATTTTGTTTCTGATATTCTCTGTAGGTGGTGGAGGCAAGTCAGGTTTACCTGCTTATGACCGAAGAGTACAGGATTTCCCGCAATATTCGTGCATCTTGGTACTTCAATCATCTTAACACAGATATAGAAATATCAACTAAAGATGAGTCAGTAAGTATTTTGGAGTGATGATTATTTGAATGTGGCGTGTCAGTCTTGAAAGTTCTCTGTATTTTGCTAGCTATTTCAAGCCATGTCCGTGATAATTAACAGTCAGGAATTGAGATGATGACTAAACTTAAGGTAGATTATAGAGTTGTAATTCAACAAGTTGAAATAATCAATTCCAAAAACTAAGCCATGATATATATACCTTTTCGCAAGAGTTTGATTTACATCTTAAAAAGAAGGCTGCACTCCTTTGCCTAAATCAGATGTACATGTAAGATTGTAAGTGTTTGGTCTGGCCTTTCCATTCAAAATCAATGATGCAAAAACTACCTAATCAGAAAGCCAAGCCATATACCAAAATGTAGCTCATCTTCATTTCATGTTTAGACTCCCATTGAAGAAAACTCCATGAAAAAAGCAAATTATTATATAAAAACACATCCAGGCTAAACAAAATATTATTTAAGATTATATTAATTATTTCCTCAAGCCTAATAGCAGGTTATTTGTTCTTGCAGTCTGAGTTCAAAGAACTTGAGGTTTTGGCAATAGAGGGCTCTGCCCTACAAAACAAACTCAGTGAAGAGACCCAAGAAGAAAGAATCTACAAACTTACAACAAATTCTATTGTTCACTTCATAGCCCGTCAGTATAGACTTGTGTTTGCTTTGGACCTGAGTCCTTCGCTGGCATCTGTGGTAAGACTTTATTACATGTATGCTTAGTGTCATATTAAATCTCTGTACCAGACCAACTCTACCCCAATATTTCATTGAAATGTTCTGGAATGCAATGCGAGAGAATCATATAGATTTGGTAGCCAAAATTTATATTGGCAACAAAATTAAGTCAAATGACGATAAATGAGAATCTGCAAATGATATACAATTATTGTTCTCTCCTTTTTCTCTAGTGGTCTTCTGTATGTTTGGCCATTAATTTGAAATTGTATTATTGAATCTTAACGATACCATTATGTCTTTATTTATAATTTTCAGAACTTGCATTCTGGTGAGGTAATTTATGATGAAGTGTTCACTGCTCTGAGCAATACTCTTAGAGGACTTGTGCGCCCAGTAAGTGTTTTGAGATAAAATTATTTTTTATCCTCTGAACGTAGAGCTCCAGACATTTACATCCTGGAGGAACATAATGGAAAAAGTATGATGCCCTGCATTTGGAGGATAGTTTTCCAGTTTTTAAAATTCATAAATATTTTTTCTGACCTTGGAAATAAAGTTGTGTTTTATAGCAGTTTTAAGTTTGTTATCACAAAGTGAAAATGCTAGGACTGTGTTCAATTGACATAATAAT